GGATGTGTTTTTTTTCTGTTACATCTCAATGTACAGTACCAGTGTACATTTCTCTACCACCCAGATGCTACACTGTCAGGACTCATCAGGCTCTCTAGTTACAGTATACACTACAAGAAGCATCTTCCAGAAGTGCAAGTGCAGGCTCTTATCTGACCTTCCTTAAATTCGGAAAACCTGTAGAAATTCAAAGGAGCTGGTGGGAGACTGCCTGTGCACTGCTGCAGGTGATGGACAGATGTGCTGTAATTGATGGCTCTGTAATGGGATCTGTCCCTGCTGCCTAAAGTGAAAGAGCAGCCACAGTAACGACATTGGAGGCTACGGTACAGCCCAGAAGTCCGAGACACTGCTACCTAATTGAATCTGAAAGTGTGAAAAAAAAAACCTTGAGCCACCACAACAATGTTCTTGGCAAGAGAAGAACTACTGATAGGACAATATCAGGTTTAATTGTGTCTGTTTTGTGTTATGAGGTAACATTTTTTTTTCCAATTAATGTGAGGTGATGAAGGTTTCGATGTTGTGCGGGGTGACAGCACAGAGATGAAGGATGTGTGCAGTCATGCTGCGAGCCAGGTGTGGACAGGAGCTGTGCTGGCAGGGGGTGGGGGCTATTGGCTGCCGCTGCTGAGTTTGCAGATCTATCCCCCCCTCTGTGAGCATAGGAAGCCTTTTAGACTGATGTTTCCTGAGGTTTTTTTTTAATTCCTCCTGCAAATTGAAGTTGAATTATTGGATTTTGAGCCTCTCTGCTGAGTAAAAACATGTTCTGCAATTTCTAAGCCAGACCAAGACAGCGTGTTTGCAGCTGACCCAGAAATTGTGGGGCCCTGATGTCATTGTCAAGGGACGTGTCACTTTCCAGGTTTGGGACTGACAGAACATCTTAAGTTCCAGATGGAACGTTGTTGTCTTAAAGAACAAAAACAGAAACGTTAATTATCCACAAAATGTCAATAAATAGGATCCCAGAACAGTGTAATGGAAGGAACCAGAACAGTTGTGTATCTTGATCCAATTCAAATTTTCCCATTATTTAATGATTCCAGTATTTACTACCTTGAGTGGGAACAGTGCAGAAACCACTGCTCTGCCCCCAAGCAGATGCGACTGTATTTAACCCTATATGGGACATGTCCTACCTCCAGTGCTGCATATATATTTAGATAACCATCCTTTGCCATAGTTCTTGTACTAGTAAGATCACTATAAACCTTATTAATTACTCTTCTGCCTTGTGCAGTATCAGTACCAGTAAATGCAAAATGCCCTACTCAATACAAGACTCCGAAGACAGGATTGCAAAGGCACATTTCGAGGATAAGTGTGAAGTTAATCTTTTGTCTCCCAAGATTATGCTGTTATTCTCTGTTTTGAATGATTAATAAGTTTATTGTTCTTAACTGCACTCAGTACTTGGCTTTGCTGTACTACCATGTGCCGACTATTGTTTTGCACCTACGAGAAAATTAAATTAAGCCTTGCCTCTTGCCAGTACTCTTTCGCACTTATTTAGAACTTAAGGGATTTCAAGTCCAGTGTTTCTTATTTCACTGTTACAAATGGAAGAAATGATAGTGCTGACCAAAAATCGCTATTCTAAAATTTGGAATTAACAGAATTGGGTCAAGAAGTAAAGAAGCTACGGTAAATACTGTTTAAGTGTAAGAAATTCATAAAGCTATTTTACTGTACAGTAACCTTAGAGTGGGGGAAAACTCTAATAAGTGCAGCTTTCTCATACCCTTCCCTACTCTGTCTCTTGCAAAGTTTGCAGATTGATATTTGTGTGAACATATATAATTATGATTTAACATATACAGTGTAATTGCAAGAATGGCTAGTAGTACTTTCATCCTTGTTACTGAATGAACAGTAAATAAAGGTGGATGCCCACAATAGATTACATCATGGCTTAAGGACAAGTTACCTCTTTGATTGTTGCTTTTAAGTAGGCAGATATGTTCAGCAGTGCAGGTTGTTTGTACTGGATTTCCTCTGAGATTACTACCTTGGGCTAAAATAAATAGAAGTTATGATGATTAGCACTGAGACACGCCGGTATTCCCAGAAGTGAAAAGAGACTTGATAAGTAAAGAGTTCTCAGCTCCATGGTGAATAGAGGAGGTCTTATGTTCGATCTGCCATCTGATTATTCGCATTCTTCTCTTGCCTCCACAAAAGGACATGATTTAAACTGTGGAGACCTGATTATACTCTAGGATTTTATTCATATATTTGTATATATTGGAAAATAAAGATTTCTTGATTGCTTGCTAAGTTTTTTTTTAAGTACCTTGTTAAGAAAAAAGACAGGACAGACTGCAAGCGATAAACAAGAGCAAGGATTGATTGCATGATGAAGCACATTGGCACACCAAGCGAGTATTCCTGAACCATGGCAGTGGGATAAATTGTGCCAGTCCCGTGGGCTCCCATTCAACACGCACAGTATTATTGTGGGTTTTGTGCCTAACCAGCCAGCATCCTTTGCAAGCTCTTAAGGATTACTGCTATAACACAATTACTTCAGTGGTTTGTAATACATACAGATTGTGCTCGGAGAGACAAGAGCAACGTTTGCTAGTGGAAAAACAATAAGGTCATTTCATTAAGCTATCTGTGCTGGAAAAGTGGTGATTCTGCTATCACAGATGTCAAACACAGTGCAAAATCTCTTTAATGTTAAATATGAGGCTCTATACAGGCAATGATATGTCTGCAAGATTGGAATCTGTTTTCCAAAAAGAAATGCACTGTGATGAACAGTAAGTCATTATATTCTAGTTTGTTCCTATGGGAGATACATGAGAACATATTTCAACAATTGAATTGAGAGGGAAATTCAAGGAAGTCAGATTGTGTGAAATCAAGAAAGTGCCATTTAATCTCTGCTAACTAAATAGTCTGGACCTCGGGTTAAAGTCTCACCTGATGGTCGGCTCCTTTTACAGCATTGTCTCTGGTCACCATACTGGGGCATATTGATTTGGAAATGCTGGTCCAGAGGTAAGAGAGCCACCTATTGGTCTACCAACACCATCTACAACAGCTTCTGAGATCTGCTGAGGTCAGTCTACAGGGCATAAATGCTGCTGTGTATATTCTGGGTCCTTCATGCTCTTTGAGTTTTCTAAACTAGGTGGCTTGGAAAACAAAATGCCTAAGCTACTCTGTGTGTTCTAGGTGGAAAGCATCTTAGGTTGAGGGGCGTTGATCACTTTGCAATTCCAGGTTTCGATTCCTTAGTTTGACCTCAGCTCTTGTTTTATAAACTCGTCCACGAATGCTACAGTATGTACAGCATAGCCTTTTTATGTTTGTTATGGAAAGAGGCTGTATAGCTTGTCTGTAGCTGCAGGAAGCCAAATTTATAAAACACTGTAGATGGTCTGGTACAGAATGTATCAATATCTATCTTGCTGCATTCTGTAGCATTCAGTCAGAAATGTTGAAAGTTGTTTCCATTTAAGATTCATATAGAATTCCTGCAAGGTTAAGACAAAGTGTTTCAAGTTGAGAAAGATCAGATCGTCTACTACAAATCTCTCTGGTCTCCACAAGTGTTACAACCACCTAAACAGTGTACAAATGGGAACCTGCATTTGATTTCTTATCTTTGAGCTGCAGGTTATCTAAAGTAAACAGATTGCGCGTGTGTTAATATTTTAATAATCAAGCAGGCAGGGGCTGAAAGAAGTGTTCCCATCACCCGTCAGAATGTATCTTTGTAATGCAGTGGGCTAAAGCAATTTTGTGCAGCCTGCTTGGTCTTTTCCGACCCAGTAAGTGACAAGGGCAACCAATTACCTTTTGTTTGTGTGCCCCTGTTGAGGTAGAAGGGTAAAATTTGCTGCTTGTTCCCTTAGAGGTAACAGTCATTATAGTCCTTCAGTTTAAGTATGTCACATTTTTATCTGTAGAACCTCAGACCTCTGCCCTTGAAGTTGACTCATGGATGTCTGTGAGTACAAGACAGTTTTGAACATGCAGACGCATTGAATGAGTTTGATTTAATTTGTGAAGGGCTTTGAAAACATGATGGAACGAGTAGGTTTAGCCCAACATGCATTGTAACCTGATGTAATTCACATACTGTATGATATCCAAGAATACAACCACAAACTAACGTAAGAAGTAATCAGAAGTTACATCCAGATGCCTACTGAAACTCTGTCCAGTCTGTTGAATAATTCATGATTGTGCTGTTGAGAAGTAATCTGGATTAGTTTGTCAGAATTAAATCTTAATGGCTGGAGGAGATTATTTGGATCAGACCAGCAAATGTGCCACCCTTGGTGCTTTTTCTGCAGGGGGCAAATTACTGGGATTAGCTCTGTGGCAGGCTGCATAATTCCTATGTTATTGCACTGTGTGCTTTTTCTCGACTTCAAGGGATATGAGGATCTTTTTTTCACGAACTGAGAAAGATGCCCTCTGCACTTTTCCTCAAGGTGTGTTTTCCGAATTAACAGAGGGAGGGAAAAAAACAGTCTGCCGATATTCTTTGTGTGTGTAGTCAATTGAAATTTTTGAGACTTGCTCTTTGAGTAACGGTTAAGGAACACATGTATTGTTAAATATTGAGCTGAGTTAAAGTACCTTAATTAATTTTTTAATTCTACTTTTCTTTTAAATGTACAACGCAAAAAAGAAAAGGCAAAATCGATGAGAAAATGTAAAGCAGACCCTTGCATTTAAAGCTCTCATCGCTTCAACTTTCTTGATTTACTGATATGTGGATGATAGTTTCCTTTTTTCATTTTTTTTTGCAGAATATGAATAGCTTATACTCAAACAGTTATTGGCTGCTAATGGTGCGATTAGTTTTAAGCCAGGGAGTATATCATCTTGATTGGTTGAAGTAAATTCTCAATAATTCATTGTTCTTTGTTCAGCAATGAGAAAAATGAAGTGAAAATTCTGCAAAGCAGAGGAAATGGCATACTTTTTCATATCTTTGATATTGATTGCTATTTTTTTTCCTTTCTCAACAGTGAAGAAGGATGTGGATGAAACAGATGATAGGAAAGTGCTACAGTTTAAGAAGAAAGCGAAGGAGCTGCGGATTCTGGACTCCAAGACGGCACAGAACTTGTGTACGTGCGCCCTGTGTTCTTTCTGGCCCTGCTTGCACTTTGAAATGGTGGACGGTATTTGTTTTGTTTTTTTCTGCGCAGATATACTTCATGGAGTTTAACAATGCGCGCTGGCCTCCCAAGTGCCTGAAAGTGCAGTTTTTTCATTCCCTCCTTTATTTCCACTGCAGATCCCCCCCCCCCACCTTCTTGAGGGTGCATTAGCTGTGATGGCAGCATACTGTATGTCTTACGTAAGGAAATCTGTCCTTTCATCAACCTGTACTCCGACCTCTGCTGAGAGCGAGTGTGGTAGGCTCTGAGGACGATTACTGCTAAGTGAACTACACTGATGAATTGAGTCCAGCGTCAAAGTGTCACCTAGATGTAAAATGAAATACTCTTTGAAAAACATGCCGCACTTAGAACTCGTGTTATCCACCCTGCCACCTCCACGCAAGCATATAGGCACGATTGAAAGTGCATGATTTTAGGTCAAGGGTCATGCAATCTGTGCTGTGCTGCAGGGGGTGTGTGCGTGTGTGTATTTGGGAAAGATGATTGAGAGCCTTAAACTGCATCTTTCTGTACACCTCTGCTTTATTAGCTTTGGTACAGTGCTACATAAAAGAAAAAAAAATAAAGAGAAAGCTACAGTACCTTTCCAGTTCAGTTCACAGCGGATGCTGCATATGGAGAAGCTGTGTAACGCTTTGTGCACAGTTTATTGCATATGAGTTGTTCTCAGAGGCCTGTTGCTATCATACCATACATTCCCAGAAACCAATATTATCTCTGCTGCATTTTTAAAATTTCCTTTACCAGTTCTTCCTCCTTGAACACACGAATGTCCACCTTAAAAATGACTGAAAACAAGCCACTAAATTACTAAAGCATGTTCTGGCCAGGATTTCAGAACCCAGTTATCAGAGGAAGCAAACACACTGCATGGCCTGGAAGAAGGTACTAGTGTTTGGAAGATGATGTTATTATATACAGTAGGTACACCTGATTAGGACTGAGATGTGTGTAGGAAAGCAGGTCGTATCATATGTGATAGAATTGCGGTCACTATTTTATTTGAATTTATTCATTGTTTGCTGATGTTTTTGTTTGTGATACAAGAATCACCCAGTCTATAACATTTTCTGTAAACTACAATCACCAGAAAGGTGTCCCCTCCTTCAGACAGAACTGAGATCCTTTATAAGTTTGAAAATGTACAAAGCACAGTCCTGCTGGCTCTTTAAGTTTTAGAAGACTGCTGAAACAGCTGTCTTATCTGAAAGGCAAAATGTCTTGCCATCAAAACCTCTCCTTTATAAAAGCAGAAAGGAAGAAATTACAAAAAGCAGAAAAAAACAACTTCCCCTTCTTCTTTTCAAATGTAGTGTCATGGATATCATATCCTGGCATCTTGCCCAGAACTTCATGCATCTTTTTCTTTACCCAAAAGTAAAGCTGACAATTAAACCATTTCATTTTGGGGAGGAAAGATTGGAGTTGAAAGTGTAGAGAAGGGAGGAAGGGAGCAGGTGAGTAGAGGAGAAATGAAGAGAGAGATGAGGACACAGAGGAAGGCAGGAAAGGGAGGTGTGGCTCCTATCATGTTTAATTTCAGCCCCAACATATTGGTCTGTTTTTGATGGGTTATGAAATAGATATCACCTCAGGGGGGCATTTAACATCGATTTCTCTGAAACATTGAAGTTGCTTGTGGTTCCCCCATGTGAGTGATTGGGCTCTGGTGTAATAGAGCAATGTTGTTTCTCCTGAAGAGCCACTCTTGGAGACGGGCCTTAACATCTCACCCTGTAGGTTACGTTAAAGGCATCTAAAGAGACTCGCAAACTGCTTTTGTGATTGAGTCTGTCTCTGTCCAGCCCTAATTGCGTCTGTCTCTTGTCTAATCGAATTCAGTCTGTGATCTCAGCAGAGGGATGTGGGGTCTATGGGACCCCTCGGCCCTGAAGTATTACTGATGAAGAATTTAGTGATTCAGATCGGTTTAGTGGCCTTCTCTTACCAAAGGTTTCAATACTGTACTGTATATAAAATTCTCTCAGCGATCTTTCCATTGGTGCAGCTGAAGGGGAGTCTAAATGAGCCGAGTCCTGAGTCTGACGGAGTGTTAAGAAAGCCTAGCTTATCAAAGCTGAGGCCAGGCTAGTTTTTCTTTCCATTCTCCTGCCTGAGACCCCCCCCCCCCAGCTACACTGTGTCCTCCTAATATGAAACACCACAGTTACATTTATCACATTTTAAAAAAGCCGATTTGCTGTAAAAGCAGGTTTTTTGTGTGTGTGTGCCCAGGGAGAGGGCGGAAAGCTTCGCAGCTGAAACAATAGATACAAAGGATTGAGTGCTAACTCATTCCATCTGAGACGCTGTTAATTTGGATGAAATAATCAGAGGGAAATGATTCAGGGTCCAGAAATGAGCTACATTAAGTCATCCTCCAAGGAGCGGGGGAGAGACGTCTCTGGAGAGGTCATGTCTGGACTTCATCTGCGCTCCAACATATTAATATGTATATATTTTAACAGAAACTTTTGTGGTTGTAAGGCTTTTCAAAGCTCTTTAGAGAATACATTTTTAACTGACTTGCACAATGTTTAACATTGCATCCAAGTCTATTCTTGTTGCACAAGTAGTTTCTCTTGCAAAATAGGGTGTTGACTCTGCTCCTGGAAATTTCCAGTTACCTCAACATGGGGCTTCAGACTCTTTCTCTGACGAACAAAAACCTCTGTGTTTTAGTGGGGGTGACTCAGGATCACCCATGTTTTTTATTTGCATAAACTCATCAGAGGGGATAGGGCAGAGGTTTTGATCGATACAGTGTTAAAATAAATGAAGGACAAAAAGCCTGTGCTGTTAAAATTACTTCTGCCATGTGTAGTTGCTTTATGGTGTCTTATACAGTAGATGCAGTTCTACCCTACCCTTCTAAAACACCTTTTGTTGAAAAATACCTTTGCAAAGAATAGTTTACGTATCTGTGAAATCTGTAATCACCTAATAGCAGCTTTCTTTGTGTTGTTTAGCAGAAGGGGGATGTATTTCACTTAATGTGTAAATTCTGTTAATTGATAACTGATGAAAGGAAGGTTTCTTTGTGCGATTTACGTTTTACGGAAGGTTTCAGCACTTTGTTATGCTGTCAGAGCTCACTGGGATTCTGTTTTTTAATTAGATTTAAATTAGAAAGGAACCATCAACTTATCTATTCATCATTTAGAAATTTTTTACACGTTTCACCACAGTGTAGCTTCTTCCATTTTGTTTTGCTAATTAAGACAATGCAGGAATAATTCAATTTAATTCCCATTATGTAGTTCTTTATTATTCTGTTTTTCAGGCTTTGAAAATGATAGATGTTTGTCCAAGTTTGCATGTCATACCTGGCATATGATTGTCTGGAATGACTAGTTGGTCTTATACCCACCTGCTTGGAACTGCTAATTACAATTCAGTTTGGCTCACTGCTGTGATGCTTGCACCAGTCCAGGAGAAATGAAGGCGATATGCAAGTCCCTTGCCATTTGTTTTGTTAAAATCACTTGGCACGTTTCCTTTTTTGCTGTGAATCCAGACAGTAAGACCAGTCTGGGGTAAGACTGTGTGTTTTGTCCTGTCTCAGCTGGGACTACAATCCCCGTGACTATACACATGGGTGAATGGGGATGTGCAGGCGGGCTCCTTTGAGCCGCTTGTGTTTTACCACAGGCAACAGAGTCCTGTAGCAGAGGTTCAGTGCTGATTTAGAAGAGAAGTGTGTCCCTTGCCTACAACACCACAAGCCAGCAGGTATCCAGGAGGCTACAGGGGTCACTGTATCACTGAGAGCAAACAGCCTAGGTCGGCTGATGGACCCCCAGTCAATTGTCTGCCACCACCTGGGAATTATCCCTTATCCTTTGACATCCAGTGACATGAACCAGGACTGAACCCGCAATCATAGAGCTAAGCCTGTTCTCAGGTGAGTGCCCTTAACCGTTGAGCCACTCAAAATGTGTGTTTGCAGCTGACGATGAGAATCAGCAGTGGCAGAGTCTCCTAGGCATACAGGACAGTTCAGATCACAAAGGCATAGTTAATGCACCACAGGAGAGATCTCCTGAAGATTGTGAGAGGATACAGAGATAAGGGCACTGGAAGTGAAAGGGTATGTAAGTCAAACCCAGCAAAGTAGAAAGATATCCACAGCCTTTCTCAAGCTAGAAACATTGGAGACAAGAAGACCAAAGCAGACTGGGGGGCTCAAGCACTGATCCCTGAGGTATTCCTCTAGGGAGAAGGTGGAGTAATAAGGGTGAACCACAACAACCAAGCGGAAGAAGTTGTCACAGAGGTACAGTAGAAGGAGAGGAAGGATTAAGCATAGTCTGAAGTTAGCAAGTTGGTGAGAAAGGGCAGGAGAATTGAGTAGCTGATTTCAACAGCAGGCAAAAAGCAGAGGACATGCTGTATCAGGGAGAAATTCATTTTCTGTATTTTATGTGAGATGGAGAAGTCTGGAGAGGATCAAGCCAAGCTCTTGGTCAGGGGAGTGCACAGAAAGCAGTGAATCGGCTGAAGAAAGGGAGCAGAGAGATAGGGTGATGGTTCCAGGGGATAGGTACCAAGAGTAGGTGTCATGAGAATATGGTTGATGCAGGACTTCTTAAAGTCAAAGGGAAAACAGCATGAGAGTAGAGGTGCTAAAGGGCAAGGAAATGAAAGGCGGTACTGTAAGAGCGAGGGTCTGGAGGAGATGAGAGGGGTCGATCCCTAAAGCACAGGTGGGAGTCCTGTGATCCAGCACCAGAGGGCAGAGGTCAGAGTCAGAAAGGGCTGAAGGAGGAATGAGGGGGATGGAAGTGGGAGAATGAATTAGGGAGGAGGAATATACACTGCAAATAAGATTCTTGCCTTGTGCTGCTTTTTTTTTTTGCTAGATAACAAAAAAGGATAAAAAGGTATTCAGAGAAGACAAAAGTGATAGCTTCTGCTATCTTACTTTCTGTGTTGATTCCATTTTTATCATTTTAATTAACAGATTGCAGATAGACACAATGAGATTGAGAGATGCAGTTGGGTATAATTGACTTGGCACTTACCGACATGCACGATTGCTGACATATTCCACGTGGGGAACTGGGGGAGTCAGACCATGTCTCCCAGCTCAGAACAGATGCACAGAGAGTGCCATTAGTGAGCTTATTAACAAGCCTCTCTTGTTGTGTTCTTCTTCAGAATGTTCTTGAGTCCCGGTTACACCTGAGTTTTCCTCACTGAGTAACCGTGGCACCTGGTCTAGTTGGCTAACTAGAACAAATCGGCCCCCGAAGCTGAACACTTACACAACTCATGTGCTGCCTGCACATTGTTCACTGAGCTATGACAGAAGTAGAGTGCTTTCGAAGATTTGTGTGCTCTTATCTACTGCATGTGCTATTTTCAGTCTTTAAGCACAACTTTTTTTTACTTTTGCTAATTTGTTTACATTAAATGGCTAAAAAATGCTGTATATTTTTAAGAATAATAATTGTGAAGCACATTCTCTGTATTTCAAATTAGTTTTGATCCATTTTCTTTTGTCTCTTGAAACACTATTAAAGTGCATAGCTGCTTTTTTAGCCTAGACCTCACTGGAAGTTTGCAAATACTGTAGATGAATAGCTTATAGTATATTAGTATAGTAATGATTTCATTCTTGATTCAAAGTTGTTATTAAACACATTTTTAAGTTTTACAGGTTCCAAATGACCAAATGTAACGAATATAACAGATGTAGGTGTGTGTTTAAAATATAAATTGTATTTGTAAATTTAACATTTACTGTATTTGCACTTTTCTCTAAGCCCCCCCCCCCCTTTTTAAACTGGTGAAGTACTGTTATTTCCCACTTTGCCACTAGATCTGCTGAGCAGTGTTGCTGCTGGTGCAGAATAGCTACACAATTTTGTCACCCAAGAGGGCATTGGATGAAGTCAGTTCCCTCCTATGTATAAAGCACTTTGGGATCCTCTGGGTTGTAAAGGACTAAACAAATACATGCAATGTTTAATATGATATTTTTTCAAACATTTTTAAAAATCTGTGTGATATACTGTACAGGTTTTAATTTTATTTGTGAGGATAAACATTGTTTTCAATCAATTAACCAAATATTAAAAAGAAATGAAAACATTGTGAACACACAGCTTTATTTCTTCTAAGCAAAGGCATACATTTGGTAAATGTTTTTTTTTTTGCGAGATTCAAGTGTTGACAATTTTTTAAACCAAAACTTCTAACAAATTGCTTGTATTTCTTCGTATCAAAACAGCGATTTTCTTGGGATCGTTCCGCATGCCTTATGAAGAGATCAGAGACATCATCCTGCAAGTGGATGAGAAGAGATTGAGTGAATCCCTGATTCAGGTAAGATCCCAGCCGGTGTGTGTGTGTGGGTGTGTGTGTTTCGTGTGCACATTGTGAGTGTGCGTCTCGCCATCCTCTCTGACCTCGTTTCAAGATCAACTCCGCCTTCCCGACTCCAAGCAGTTCTGCTCCATTCAGAGACGAATGGGACCTCCATCCATCTGCCCACAATAGGTGGTCTGGGACACCGCTTGGCAAACACACACAGAAGCACACTCGCACTCACGCCGGCCGTTTCCTTTCAGGCAAGATTAATGATCTTCCTGGGAGCTGTTTTTGTTTCTCAGGAAGTGGTAATTACAAACAGAGCTGGCTGTTTGAGGTAGGGGTGCTTTCTGAAGAATGGGCGTTCCTGTGTTGGCCACAGCTAACGGTTTGATCTGTCAATTTATTGCCTTCCATTTGCTCTTTGCGTGCCTCTTCCCAAGCCATGTGTGACTGTCTTTCTCTAAATGAAACGGTGCTGTGTGTGTGGAGGGAGTAACGTGTTCCCTTGAAATTATTCAGCAGGGAAGCATGTCGGCGCAATAAGCTGAATACACACTCAGGAGCAAGACTAGTCAAATGGCTGATTGTACTGGGGAGTAGAAAATGAGAGGTACTATACAGTGCAGAATTGCAGTCAACATTTCTCTTAATGGCATGTAGAGAAGCTAGGCTAGATTGTTCCAATTAGGAATGCGACAGCTAAAAATAAGTTTGTATCTCATTTATCTTCACGAGCCATCTCAAAAGTAGAGGCAGCCAGAGCCCCAGTAAACTTTCTTTGGCTTGTAATCTTCCAGTTCTCTGGGAAGCCGGAAGTGTTTTCAGATCCAGGACTTCACAGCGGGATTTAGAACCAAGCAACCCCCACGATCACACACATAAAAGTTAAAGAGCTAGAACCTTCCCATGTTTTCAAGGGTTTAGTTTGTGATCAGGTGCTTCATAGTAGTCAGTTTCTCATGCAGGTATGTCAGTGCTGGCACACGGAGATGTATTCCACACTTGTCCTCACTAACGTTATGTATATCTAAGTGTATCGATTTTGTTTCTGCTGTTTCCTTTCTTTGAGCTTTCGCAGCTGAGGGAGTGTAGTGATTTAGCAGTTCTGTGGCTGTGACACTGTGAGTCAATGATATGTCATCATCTCATACCACCCAAGAAAAGCAGCAGGCAGAGCAAATGGCCCCCCCTGCTGAGTGGTACAGACGTTGTAACATGTAATTCGTGTGAACTCCCCCGATTTATCACAATGCCTTTACAGCAGACACATTTATTAAAATGGATTTACAGCAGCCAAAAAGCAATTGGAAATCAAGGATATCATTTCTGTTTTTATGTGTGTTTTAGTTCAAAAGACTTCTACAGTACAGTATAAGGCAGACTGATCTGGAGCTTTATACACACATGCAGAATAGCACACACACACGTCTATTTATATTTCACAGTAGGTGATATGTTAAATTGATCATAAAAACCAGCCGGTAGTGAACTTAGACCTGAGTAGAGCCCAGAGCAGTGTTCTGGGCTGTAAATGTCAGTTGCTGGAGGGGAGGCGAGGAGCTTGTGAAGAACGAGGAGCAGGGCCAGGTGAGGTACTCGGGGCCGAGTCACCGGAGCTGGGGGCTGGTGTCTGGAGTTCACCGTGTGCGGCACCCTCAGTCCTGAGGGCCGGGAGAGTGGCAGGGGTCTTCATCCATAACAGGGAGTCACCCTTAGCGGGGAGGGGAAACGCATCATGACACTACAAGAGCAGGAACTGACAAGGAGCGGCTGCTGAGGAACCTGCAGCTCGTTTGGATGTCTGAAAGGAGATGTCTGAGCGGCCTGGCTGTCGAGTGAAACAGATTTTAAAAATGGAACAAGCCAGCACACTTTCTCATGGCAGCAAGCGCTTGAATGTAAACTCTGGAGCCTTGGTGATTTAGTTCTAGGTTTTTTTATTTAAGGGTACTGTTTTGCTGGTTCCAGGACTAATATCCAAGTGACATTTCCTGCCCCTACTTTATGAAACCACTCACAACAAAGTGTGATGATGTGATGACAAAGTGCCGTTACAGTCCGAATTATGTCAGGCTTTCAGCCTCAGGTAGTGATGTTAACACCAGAAAAGCCACAGGTGAAGATTGAAGCCCTGACGTTCATCAGGGTCTGTTTGTCAGAAGTCCCATAGCCAGGACTGGCTACACTAGGAATGAACCTCCACCAGAAAGGGGACAAGTTAGAGTAGCCAGGCAACCTTAACTTTCTTGTCTCTGGGACAAGGGAGCAAAGGTGTGTGTGGAGAGCAACAGAAAGATAAGCTGGGCAATTGTCCTCCAGCCCTGGGCAGTGAGGCAGCTGGTTTCTGTTGGCCACTGGAGCTTCTGTGGCTCTTAACCAGAGGCTACTGCTCGAGGAATGCTTTTGCTTTTGTATTGCACCTTCCATGATTGGAATGGAGGATTTAAAAATAAAAAAAGGGTGTCAAAAGTGCTGCCACTGACTTGTTTCATTTCCCTCTCTCCCCCTTAAAAATAATTTTCACACAGTCACATTTTGTTCATAGTCTCTGAGTTTTGTGACGTTTTAACAGTGACAGTTTAACAGTGCCACCCTCCTGTCATGTTCAGAGAAGAAGCTAGATGTCCTTGATAAGTTGGTCCGTGTGCTTGTTTTGATGTGCCCTTTGTGGACTCATCTCCGCCTCACGTATATTAAACTCGATTGGCTCCCCTTATCCTGTATTAGGCTTCATCACCGCCTGAATATGATTTACAGATGCCTGAACTCCAGAGCCATTTCGGCTCTCAGATTGAATATGTACCCACCAATTATTTTCCCACATCTAGAGCTGTGCAGTCCTACTGTTGAGACTCTGCTGTACAAATTCAATTCTGCCTGGGAACTCCATCACCATATCATCTCATTTCAGACAGAAATCCCTCACTCTATTTCCACTGAATTGCTCCACAAGTGCCTTTGATACCATTGCTCGTGTTCTAAATACTGGCCTGGATCTCAGCAGCATTTTCTTAAAATAGTAAACTAAACTTGTCAGTTTTTTTTTCTGTGTTTCATTATAAAAATCAGTTCACTCCATAACAAATATATTATTCTTGTATTTCTCAACAACCAACAATAACACTTAAATCAACTTTTTAAGACTTTTACTGTGTCTGCCTTCTAACATTTTTGCAATATGTGCCAAAACTAAAGAGAGTCAAACATTGGAAGAGAAAATGTTGGCTTAAAGTGTTGGCATGAACAGGCAGCTAGTTTGACTGTTTGATTGTCTGCTGAGGCAGGGCTGGCATTGGGAGCTCTGAGCAGAAGCGTGGAGCACATGTGGGCACATGTGTGAGAGGCAGGGGGTTCTGCAGCCATTGTGCTGGTGCCCAGGGCTCTCCTGCCCGTTCACAGCCTGGCAGTATCACACAGGAAATACAGAGGTCAAGCTCTGCTATTCATTATACTGAGGAAACAATGCCAACCTTCATTTTTATTTATTATCAGGCTTTACATACTTTTACTAAACTTTGAAGACTGCAGATGGGCCACCTGCCCGTTTCCTACAGTTGACATATTTGTGCTTTGTGTGTAGAGAAAAACGTTTAAATTTACCATACACTAACTTAGTTCTTCACAGAGAAGGTACTGCTCTCAGAGGTATGCCGTCCTTAGATGTTGTTCTGTGCTTCACTATTGCTTGAAGTGTTACACAAAGTGTAAGATGTCTATGATTTTCAAAACTTTTGGGATTGATCTCACATATTTATTTGAAATGTAGGAAAGATTTGTTAGAAGTTGGTTATTAATAAATTTCTCCCTTTAATCTGGTCTCTCAGGTTACATTGCACATTCCTGTGTTAATTAAGACTAGAACAGTAGAATGGCCACAACCATTCCCATTGAGTGGTAAGTCCGTTGTAACTGATTGATTGAAATAGTCTCATCTACTCACATGCAGGAAGGAGGTAATTGGAGATGCAGTCAATTATTTCAACAAATCGTTCACAAAGTCATCCTATCAAGGTAGTGTTTAAAAGTATCTGCAGGTTATTTGTTAGGTGTTTCAAATACTTTTCATATACAAAGCATTTTGTAGAATGACAGTACTTGCAACCACATTTTTAAAGCATTTGAAAGTACTTTTGAATTTCATGTCCTTGTGAAAAGTGTTTGACCCAGGTCTGTTTTCCAGCTTCAGAGAATGTGTGTTATATAGGAGGGTTTTAATGGGCATTGATGACCATTAATACATGACATGTTCCACGAACAATTCATATGCATAACTATCCATAACTTTGTATAAAACCGCAATTAGAGATGACTTTTTTAGCATAGGCTTTTTCAAAGTGTTGTTTGCATTACTAGCCCAGTTACAGTATGTTACAGATTGAAAATCACTGAAATTGGTGAGATGGCCCCATTACAGGGTTTTTGTTAACAGTTTTGTAATTTATCTTTATGTTAGAAAAACGGAACTTATTCCTGTAAAGACAGTCCCAATATAAGACAGTCTATATCATGGGATTTTTTTCCTGCACATTTATAATTTTTGGTATCATTATTGCTGCTGTTGTGTAAAAGCTGAACTGATCCTCACACAAGTCTCTTAGGACTCAAAAATACACAAATGCTAGAAAATGGTACAGTTAGAAACAGATGTAATGTAAAGAAAGCTACTTACAACCAGCAACTAGTATGAGTCATTTATAAGGGTTTGATAATAGATTCTTTAGACAGACCCCCACCTACAATTTTTTTATTACCTTAAAAGGATAAGGAAAGGATTTGTCACTGATAGAATTGTCGTACCGCTATTTGCCTTGGAAGTGTGTGCTGAAAGCCCAGGAACACGCCTGTGCGTGTTGTAGATGTCCACAGGAGAGAGACTGATTCACTGCTGTTAGTGACAAGTCAGTCTCTACCTGCTGTCAATCAAATGGCTGTAGTCTTCAGTCAATGGAGTATAATTGTATAAATAAATTATATGCTCAAAAAGGCGGAATGAGAAGACTTAAGACAGTTCC